CAAGGAGCAACCAGCTCACATCACGCGATACCATAGATCAGTTTTTACAAGTCCCAATCATTTGGGTGGTCCTTCGAACGGCAGTATCTAGACGGCACAACATCGTGCAAACATCCATAAAGCTCGAAAGTTCATCGCCACAACAACGGGCAATAACACATATTATTAAGTACTACGTAGGGCTCAGGAGTTTGCTCCTGGAAGGAATGCGGGACTTATTGGATCGTATCTCCATAAGACCACGTTCTCTAACACAATCATAGAAATAAGGCACACGTATTGTCATTACTGGCAGAACGCGATAATATCGACGAATCGGATCATATAGCACCGTGTAGGGGAAGATTCGGCCGGTGCGAGTGAAGTGCCCCTCTACTGAGCTCTGCACAGTACTGTGCGTCCACGAGAAGATGACAAGGCAAAGGAATGCGGGTCTGATCGGTGTTAGCAGTGGGCTGTGAAATCAATAAAATAAATAAATAATAATATATTTATTGCGTGTGCGTCTTACAGTTTTTGGCGTTATACAGCGAACTGGTAACGAACCGTACAATGATGAACAGGCGCGAATAATTACAATTGACGATCGACACCCAGTACCGTACCACGAGACCATTTTATCTCGGCACGACTTCCAAACCTCCTTCGTTGCATCGTTGCTCCTCCAACAATTGAGTCATACATACATTATATATGTATGTATTGTAACATTTTTTCATAGAAAGCTTCATTCTCGAATAAATGGTTATTAAAGATTCGTCGAGTGCGCGTGCATTTGCGCTTCTGTGAACGTTTTCTGTAATATTTGCTGTTTTTCAATGTTCGAATAGAAAAATTATTTTCCCTTTAAGTTGTTCCCTATTTGCATTCTTGCCGTGGTACACAAGAGATATGACATGGCCTCGTAAGCAAAAATCCATCGATATCAAGTCCAAGGATCGTGATGGCCAAACTGTTTTACCATTACAGTGGATCCAGCAGGGATATTGCTCCTTATTCTTATTTCATTGTTTATCCTTCATTGTCTAATGTAATAAATTGAAACAGCAATGCAGGGAGTTTGCAACGACATCTGTTAGATGAAGGCGTACATGAAATCATGTGTAAGTGTACACGTTTTCGACGAATCTTCAACATTGATTTATTCAGAAATGAAGCTTCGCATGAAGAAATCTATATATTATATTGCAATTACTCTACATTTTCGAATTATTTCTTCATGCAGGTTCACCCCTTTTCTAGTTGTACCACCAGTTCAGAAACACCCTGTATACTATCCGGTTCATAAGTATCAGGACACTTACTGAATGTGAAGCATACTGAAATCTTCTGAAATTTACCAAAATCTACCAAAATATACTAAAATCTACGAAAATCTATTGAAATCTACTATTTTACTAATGTCTATTGGAATCTTATAAAACTGAAGACGTCTAAAACAAAAAATTTGAAAATTTAGAACAAGTGTTTTCAATTTGAAATTGCAGAATTTTTTTTAACGATAGTTACAAACAATTCTTTTTCTTCTTCACTGAAACAGAGATGTACAGTTATTTGTTTGAAGTGTTCCACAGGAATATAAATCTGGGGTACACTGGTTTGCATCCAGGTTTCCCAATAACGGTTCAAACTCTTTCCAATGGAAACAATCACGTCCGGAAAAATGGTTAATGCATACGAATTAATAACTGTATACCGATTTCCAGGTAACGTGGCATGATTATCGCATCGTGGACGAGGCCTTTGATCATCGTACCATGAATGCAACAACAATTTCATTATCGTCCTTACGAACATTAGATCGGATCTATTCGAAAGTTTCTCCACTTCTAAATCCTTGTGATAAATTTCCTGTTTAACATGCAAATAGGCAAGCTCACTCTTGCAACTATTCCACCTAATTAAAAATTGAAAATTAATAGAATCCTTTTTAATATTGAACTAAAAAATTATTGTTTATCATATTTAACGAATGGTACAC